CTGGTTTCAAGTTTCTTGATCTGACTCCAGATAAGTAGTTATTCTCCCTTACTATAATTGTTCAAGTATGAAGATGTTTATTGTTTTTTCTTGTCTAAAACTTGGTCTGTACTTTTTTTCTAGTAGGTTTATAATTTTAGTTTTTTTTTTGTATATTCAGAAGCCTTCTTCTATTTTATCTGATCTGATGTTTATCTTTAGTTTTTTTGCCTCTTTAATAATCTTATAGTATATGTTGTTTTTAATATTAACCTGCTCTGATTTCTGTATACATAAATCTAGTATGTATTCACTATTTTTAAGATTCAACTTGGCTTGTTTTAACTTCATCCAAGTTGTCTTGCCTGCATCTTGCTTATTGTTCAATCTTTCTACAAGTTCTGTAGTTTTATCACAAAATTCTGATATCTAAAATCTCATCAGGCCATAATATTGGCATCACCCAATATGGCAATTAAAAATTTAAAGTTTAACAATGATTATTAATATTATTACTAATTGCTAAATACTAATTGTCACATTAGGATTATGGTTTTCAAAATTTTGGTTGTCAAGATTTTGTAGTAAAACCAAGTTCTGTAATATGATGTGCTATCTGATTTTGCTATATTGTCTTTATACCAACTATATTTTAGTATACTATAGCTGCATTTGGCATTATATATATCATTATGCTTTATTCTTGATTAGTATAAAAAGTAGACTTTGCAATTTGTTACATACTTCTTTTAGCAATATATGGGCACTTTTCAATAAAAAAGAGAAAAAAAGTTTTTAGTAACTTTTTTTTAAATTTTAAATTAAAATATCTCAATAACTACTAAATTAAAAGTAATAATTTTTTTTTTATAGTTTTATAATTTTATAGTATTAAAATAAAAAAAAATTTATTAAATTTAGTTTAATAGTTGTTAAGATATTTTAATTTAAAGTTTAAAAAGCTTTACTTAGAAGAAATCTCTCTTCTTTCTATTGAAAAGCCCCTATATACTATTGTGCTCTGTATTTTACTCTTAGAATTAATACTCTGTTGTTTATATACTGCATATATACTAGTAATATTTTTTTTTTTGAACCCTTTAATTATTATTTGTACCTTTTTTTTATAGTTTCTTTGATATGTTTTTGTTTAGTTTTTCTGCTATCTATATTTCCAGATATCTTGATAGCTCTTCTGGTCTTTTTCTTGGGACTATTTTTTCTTTTAGCCCAAATTTTAAACCTTTGTCTGCATCCTCTTTGTTCTTAAGATATATTATTAACAGTTCAGATTTCTTTGTATTGATTTCTATATTATTTATTTTAAAGAACTCCTTTGCTATATCGATAATTATTTCTATTTCTTTTTTACTTCTTGCTATGCTAGTACTAGAAATTTTAGAGCCTGTCTTTTAACTTCATTATACTTAATGTCCTTGGGCAAAAATAGTTTCATCTTAT